CTCATGATTCATAAATATTATACTGTCCCTTCTTCCTCAGTGTTCATGGCAGTATGAAAATCAGCACTTATTTAGTGGCATTGCTGCTGTCCTTTGGGCTAGCACAGCTGCCTGAACACAGCTTTGCCAGTGTTCTAGCTTCTCTGAAACATTACCATTCATGCAGTGATGTCTGCCTTCTACCATCCACCTCATCTAGTCCCCTAGTCCTGTAGGTTAACAATGAAGCTATACTGCTTAGTTCCTTCACTCACCCATGCATCCTCTCTGGTGTAGGCTACCACCACCTGCTGCCTGACACAGCTTCCCGAGTGGCCCGTTGGTACCTCGGCATGGCACCCATCATCTACTCTCTGTATACACTGCAGTCACTGTGACCTTTCTGAAGTGAGTATCTGACCAGGTCCCTTGTCTACTTAAAATTCTTCAGTGATTTCCCATTGTGTTAGAATAAATTCCCTGTTATGGCTTGCATCTAAATGTCCCACCTAGAGTCTCATTCAGTCATGGGTGGGGCTGTGCAGAGGTGGCTGGATCTAGGGTGTGTGCTGCTGGCATTAAGAGAGTGCAGTGACTGAATTAGTCCACTGATTGGTCTGGCATAGTTCTGGGCATGGATAATAGGAAAGCCTACCCTGGGTGTAGGTGTTACCACCCAAAGGGCCAGTGCCCTGGAAGGGATAACAGGAAGAGGCGGGCTGCTGCTGCTCCATCTTCACTACTTTGCTGCTTCACTGCCTTCTCTCCACCCTGAACTATTTCTCCTCTGTGATGCCTGTCTGCCACCCTGCCCTGGATCCAATAACTACTGACTGAGAGGTCTTCAAACTGTGACCTAAATTAACCATTCTTCCTTTAAACTTGTTGGGGTTGAGTTTTGTCTCAGCAATAAGACAAGTAGAGAAAAGTAAGACAGTAAGACAGCCCAAATTCTTTTTTTTTTTTTTGGTACTGTTGTTTGAACCCAGAGCTATCCTTAAGCCTTTTTTAAAAAAATATTTTTAAATTTTGAGACAGTGTTTTCTTGAGTTGCCCAAACTGTGCTCAAATTTGCAATCTTCCTGCCTCAATCTCCTACAGTGCTGGGATTACAGGCCTGCACCACCACATTCTGACATCCAAATTCTTACAGCATTTTAGAGCCTGAATCCTGCCCATCTTCCCATCTTCACTCGGCAACTCTTTCTTAAGTAAGAGTAACATAAAGTTCTTTCAATTCCTCTAATGGTCCATGCTCTGTCTTTCTTCCTAGATCTTACATGTCCTATTCTTCCTGCCCAACACTTTTTTCCCTTTCCTATAAATTCACATATCAGGGAATAATTATCCTGAGCCCAAAGAGCAAACTTGCACTGATAATGGTTATTGTTCCATATGTTCTGCCCACTATATATTTTAGAAGTTTTTAACTGTGTTCCTATAACTACAATAACCACATTTTTCAAACTAAAAGTCTGAAGAATAAGGACTGAATTTTGGATTTATGCAAAACCATTTTGTGGCAGCTGACATTCAGGGACTTCCCTGGTGAGGGACAGGAAATTGCTGTGGGATTCCAAAACAGGGGGATAGCAATAGCCGCTCTAGGCACACATCATGCAAAGGGCTTAATTTTTCATACAGCAAACTGGAGTAAGATGTTCTGCTAAAGACTAACTTTGGAAGGTTTTCTAATGCCTGCTCAGCAAAGAAGTTCAAAACCAACCAAAACAAAGTACACATGTGCACCACTGCTCCCTACACTCTTCTCTATGTTCCTTAGCAGTATAAATAATCTTTGAGGCACCTAAAGGCTGTACTCTCTCTTAAAGGAGGTGCACAGAGCCCTCTACTTGTTTTCACCTATCTTCAGTTAGCCTTGTCCAAAACAGGCTATACTCAGGTTCTATGTCAATGTCAAAGAGAAACACATTCACCCCATGAAGACAAACAAGTGTCTCTGAATTCAGAATGAATGGACGTGGACATCTAGACCAATTTGGATCCAAAATCCCTGGGGGCATGTGGGCTGGACTGCAGCCGCATTGAGCAGAAGGGGATACATGTTCGGAATCCCAAGTGGGATCAGCTGTGATCCAGCACCAGATGCTCAGATGTCTAGGACCCGGTTCTCTGCAGAGATACTTGGCTGCCTGAGAGTCCGTGGAGCAATGACAACAGCAGACTGAAGCCCTTCTACTTGCCCTGGGGAGGAAGGCAACAGACTCCCTGAATCGCTTTTGGTTTCTGGCCCTTACCCCAGTCATAATTCTACCTCTATTTCTAAACTCTTCTACTAAGTATGGGAAAAAATGGCTAAATGGCCACCTTTGAACACCTCCTACTGGTTCCTTTAACATCATATGATGACTATCAGCTACACACCAAATATCAGTAAACACAGTTGATATACTGTGCTATCAAAACAGCAGAAGAGGTGAGAAGGGGGAAAAGACCCCTAAGTTCTCTGGCCCATGTCAGCCACGGACTGTTCCCGTAATTTTATGATGATCTATGGTTCTGACTACAGCTATGGAAGTTATGCCAAGCTGTCTGCATAGAGCCTCGGGAACAAGTGGTTTCGGCACAGAAGAATGTGTCACTGAAACAGGATAACATTACTAACTGAATTATCTTCATGCCTTTGATGACATACTGGAGATCAGACTTGGGTTTTGATTCAAGTGAAATCTTCCATAAATGGTGTCTAAACACAGGCTACATAATCCAAAAACTCCCCAGAGAAATTCCTATTATGTACATGGAAAAGGAAATGCAGCAAGTCCCATTTGGCTGGACAAAGAACATTCTCTGTTCAGTAAAACTTCGTGCTTCTTGTGTTTACTGCCAACTGCAAGTTCATACTAGACCAAGGCCCTAAACATGGAGGATCTTAGTGTACTGAAAAATGAGCCAGATGCAGTAAGCAGTGCTGGGTAATTCTTTGTCTCTAAAACATCAAAACCACAAGGCAAGATATTAATAAGGCTGTCATTCTTCTAATGTCTTTAATAAGTTAAGAGTCAATATTATGATCACTGTTACTCAGAGTTACCATAACAAAATGGAGTGGAGTGACATTATCTTTTTCCATTCACCTCCTATTGACATACAAGTTAAAACCAAGAACTGACTGAGTTCATCCCCAGTGACTGTCACTCTGTAGGGCTGACAGTCTTGGGGAAACATCTGAACTTGAAAACCAGAGGACTGTAAAGTTAGTCAGAGTAGGAAATAAAGGAACTTGGGTGAGGTGACTCAGCTCAAATGTCAATTACTCAAAGATATCTTCGTGGACAAACTTAAAGTCCTGTTCAGGTCCTTGAATCACCATTGGTTAATAAATCCATCATAAGTTGAAACTATAAGTCAAAAATATATCTAACCTATTACTCATCATAGTTTAGCCTAGCCCCTCTGAAATGTGCTCAGAACACTTGCATTAGCTGACAGTTGGACAAAGGCATCAAACACAAACCCTGTTTTATAATCAAGTATTGAATATCTCATATGCATACAGAGATGGGCATTTTGTAGACATGATGAGATGGAAAACCACAAAAATACAGTACCAAATAAAACTCCAGCAACACAGTACCCAGCAAAGCATTGGTTGCTCATTCACACAATCGTGTGGCCAGCTGCCCTGTCCAGCATGGAAAGAGATTATCGTGGCACTCGCCCAGATGTGTGTTACTTTCGCATAATTATAAACTAGAAAAATCTTAAGTTGAACCACTGCCAAGTTGGTACCACCTATACCTCCTCCTTCACTAGCCAGTCAATCTTTAAGACATGATCTTTAATAACTATAAGATTATAATTTTTTAGGTATTTTTATCTCTCCTCCCTGTTTGAATTCAGACTCCCAGAGACAGGAACTTTGATGCTTCATTACTCTGCACCTAACACTCATATAAAGGTTGGCAGAGAAAAAGCCTTCAATGGTATTTTACAGGCTACCTTTCCAGCTGCCAAAGAACACAGAATTCAGTTATCTGTAACTGATATTTTTATGGAGTTCAGAAAATCCAGCATTCACACTGAAATGTCAAAAACACCACATATTGGAATGAAAAGACTCTTTTATTGCAAATATAATAGGATCTAAATCTGTACCTATTGGCAAAGCGGTCTGAAGCAACACCACTCCTGGGGTGGGGGTGGGGACATGGACCCCTAGCTTCTGCATCTCTTAGCAGTTTGTTAGAAAAGCATCACAGGGGCCATCACAGACCCAGAAAATTGGAACATCTCAGGATGAAGCCGAAACATCTGTGTTTTAATGAAGTTCTTTCAGTGGCTCAGCAGCCTTCAAATTTTGACAACTATAGCTTTGATGAGTGTGCCCCACAGGCCCATTTATTAAAGGCTTGGCCCCCAGCTTGGTGGCTTGGGTCTCCTGGGAGGTGTTGGAAGCTTTAAGAGATAAGAAGCGCTTAAGTGATCAGGGATTTGTGAGACCCTGCCCACTCCTCTCTCTCTTGCTCCCAGCCATAAGATAGAAAGCTTTGCTCCCATTTGTGCTCCTGCCAACACGTGCTGCCTTGTCACAGGCCCAAAAGCAATGGCAACAACAAATCATGGAGTGAAACCTCCTGTCAAAGTAAGTCTTTTCTCTCTACTAGTTGATTATCTCAGGTATTTGTTACAGTGATGGAGGACTAACACAGCCGCTAATTGGGAAACAAATATTAAATTACAATGAGCTATGCCAATTGTCTTAAGTGACTGCCATTCAGAAATAAAGGTGGAAATAAACAACTGGTACATTATTGCTGGCATTTACATTAAAAACATTAGGAATAAGGAGGAAGAGAAATTACACATAAATGCAGAGCGGTCTGAACGCAGAGCCACACCTGCTCACGTGTGGGCTCCATGAGATGTTCCAGGCCTGACTAAACTTTTGTTTCACTCAGTTTTCCTCTCCTCCCCTGGGACCAGCACCATGAAAGCTCTTTCTACAAATTGTTGGTACAGGTGACTGACCGGGACAACTCAGCAAAGCGGTGCCCTACCGTGGTTCAGGTGTCTGACGCAGTCACTCAGGAGCGTGCTGAACTTCTTCTGGTCAGCAGCCTCATGGAAGCAGAAGTAGCCGTGTCTCAGGAAGGGCTGCCACAGGTACACCGGGAAGGCCTTTGGCAAGGCCACAAAAGGCTGAGCGTTCTCCTTCTCACTGGAAGCTGAGGAAAGCGTGGAAAAGCAAATCATTTTAAAACAGGAGTCTTTTATTTCAAATACTTATTTCCAGCTAGCTATGAGGGCAGACCATGGAGGAAATCTGTTAGAGAAAAATGCGAGTTCAGGCCCCTCTCCACACCTCCACCAGCTCCCTCACCTCACTCCCACCTCCTTCTCCACAGGGACAGTCAGCGCCATCTGACACAATCTTTCTCAACTCCCTCCTGCTGCAAATACCTGCAGGCAGAGCTCCCTCTACCCACTGATCCTGTGTGGGCCCTTGTGTACCCCTGCCCAACTGCACACACTCGCTCCACTCTCTCCACAGGACCCACTTCCCAAGTCTCCACCCAACCCATCTCACTGCCAAACAGCACCTGGCGTCTGCGCCAATTCCCATCTACTGATTCTTGCTCCGCCAGCTCCTGAACCGAATGGCTGAGGTCACTCGTGCATCCTGACTGTGAGCCCATAGCTTCTTCATTACCCAGATATTCGATCTGATCTGATCTACAACATCTGTAGCTGCTAACGACCCCTTCTTTTGAAAAAAATTTCTTGTCCTTCAACTTCCAGGTATATCTCTCACCTTGTTTCCTTCACGCTTTAAAAAAGTGGTTTCCCCTTTGTCATCTTATTGCTTCTGCTGCTGCTTCTCTGTCAAGTGCTGGTGGTTTTCCTGTTCCATGCTGGCTTCCCCTCCAACCTCATCTATACCCTCTCACGGAATGGCCCAGACACCCTATAAGTTTTTATATAGTTCCTGCAGTCTGTCTCACCTTTCTTCCCTTCTTTTCCATCATGCTTGCCCTAGAAAATTCCCTTTCATCTTTCAAAATTCAGTTCAGATGTGACCTCCTCTATGATGTCTTTTCTGCTACCTGCTCTCCCACCAGAGAGTTAGGCACTCCCTGTGTGGTTCCCCTAAAGCACTTGCACCCAAATCCAGGGTGGGGAGGTGGGGCTGGAGAGTGAGATGAGCTCCCCCACTGATTCTCATGGGTCCCCTCCTGGAAGCTGCGTCTCACATGTCCTCATACCCTCAGCCCATAGCACAGTCATGGCACCAAGGAGACTGTGCCCTGCAGCATGTTGAGTGAATAGATGTGAATGAAACGTCGGAAAATTCAGAAGCCCTAAAAACACAAGATGTTTGGGCTGGGGAGGGTAGGTGAGTGGGGCAGAGTACTTGCCTAACATGTGTAAGACCTTAGGTTCAAACCTCGGCATGGGGGAGTGAGACACTTCCCTCAAAATCAATCTCAAGAAACATGTTAAGCCACACTACTATTCAGAACCCTGACCTCAACATTATTCCCTTCATGCATTCCTATGACATGATATTGCACTTGGTTAAAAATGCTTCTTTCCAGAGTCGCAAAGAACACACAGAAGGAAAAGTCAGTTCTGTGCTCCCTACAGAATGGGCACCAATCACGGGGAAAGGAAGGACAGCAGGATCTCTAAGAGATTAGCGAAGGCACTGGCACACCCAGAAATGGATCACAACCAATAAGGGAGGCTCCAGAATGAAGTCAGCTACTTATGTAATGAGGGGAGCGGGAAGGGATGTGAGGAGGAATAAAGATATGCTATGTACTTGTACTAACTCCTCACTAGGAATGTAAACATTACGTACTGTAAACATGTACTGAAAAATAGATTTGGGGGGGGCATAGGTTTCACTATCCTGGAATGTGAAGGCAACAGAGTGAAAACATGCTGGGGGCACAGCTGTGGCCCACTGGTGCCTAGCCCAGTGCCCAGCACATCACAACAGAAGAATGAATCACAGTACGAAGGAACGAAGGAATTCATGGCTGAATGTTTTAGAAACCACAAGTTAAAACAAAGATCTCTTCTGCCCTTCTTTCTGAGTAATAAAACCCACGATTTTTACTTGGCCAAGTGAATGCACATCAAAAACGGTGCTCACGTTTCCAGCTTCCCTTGTAGTTTGGTAGCCCACAGCTACTAAGTTCTGGTCAGAAAGAGGCAAAACAAAGTGGCACATGAAAACTGGGAATATCCAAAAAGATACCTTTCCTCCTTCTATCCGGAATGAGAAAGCTATGGCTAGAGCTCTAGCAGCTACGCTTTGTTCTGATAAGAACTACAACGCAGGGCTGGGGATTTAGCTCAGAAGTTCCACCGCCTGCCTCGCAAACACAAAGACCCGAGTTTGATCCCCAGTACCAAACTACAACGTAGAAGGCAGAAGGAGAAAACTAGAGAGACCCTATGTCTCTGATAAATTTGTGGACCTGCCACACCCACCCCAGACAAATACTGAAATATTTTTGTGAGATCATAAGACCTTATTTATTTAACTGGAATTTTTTGTTGGGTACAGTAAAACAGATTCTAACTAATAAAATTCCAAACAAGTGAACAACTTTAGTAAACCAGCACTTCTGATACAACTTGGTAGAACACTCTGTAAAGAACACATGTTTATTCATAAACTTCTAGTGCCTTCTCTCAAACAAGGTTAAAGTCTCCCATTTTTGTCGTGCCTAAATTTATTCTTTCCGGTAGAAACAGTATCTCACAACAAGTGCACTTGACTACCATGGTTTTGTGAAACAATCCTCAGTGCCCTTTCCAAGATGTCACAATTTTGTACAAACACTTGAAAGTTTGCATTTAAGAGATTCAGTAAGACCCATAAAATGCATTCCTATTAGCCTCTATTTATCTCTTAACCTTTTGCAACAATTTTCCAGATGCCATTAGTCTGCATATTTTCTGAGCTGAGTTATAAAGGCATCACAAATGATCTACTGTAGAATATTCTATTTTTACAACTCTGAAGGCCACACCACACAATAAAAATAGTCATCAAAATGCCCCAATTTGAAGCCCTGGGCTAACTGGCACTAGTCACACAAGCCTTGTGTCTTTTATGTCTTTTCATTCTTCTGATATGATTTCATCAACAAATCAATAAAGGTACTGTCTATTCTGATAGGTTTGGTTGGAAAGTCCTGGGGAGATTCTCAAGAGTCAACATGTTGGTGATCCCAATTTCAAGATGCAATTCCCAGCCAAGGAGGCACATAAACAGGTGTTGCAAGAAAATATAAAACATAATAATATGAAGAGTACTCATAAAATGTTTTAGCCTGAATTACTTAGAAATAATTTGTTAATTTAGGTTTGTGATCCACATACTAATCCTATAATTATATTACTAAGAACACCATGCTAAATATTCTAGACTAAAAAAATTTGATGAAATGATTCTATTTTTTCCCATAAATTCTAATGGATGATTTTTCCCATTAATAAGAACCAGGACTTTCCTCAAGAGACTAATTATTGAATGGTGTAATTTATACAAAGCCAGAAGTAGTTATTACATCATCCACAGTTCATGAATTTCTATAACTTTCCTGATTTAGTCTAAACATTATCTATCTTTTTCTCTATATTTTATTTATTTATTTATTTATTTATTTATTTATTTATTTATTTATTTATTTATTTATGGTACTGGGGATTGAACTCAGCACCTTGTGCTTGTGAGGCAAGCAGTAGAACCACTAAGCTAAATTCCTGGCCACTCTCTATATTTTAAAAGCAGAGTTAAAAAGAATCAAAGAAGAGTAGAGCTAGAAAGATACTTCTAGACTCTCAAGTTCAAAGCCCCACTTTGGAATTGGAGAAACAAACTAAAGGGTTCTACACCCTGCTAGTGTAAAACATTTGGTAGGTGGCAGATCTAGAATTGGATGAAAATCCAGTCTCCTAACTCTTCAACCAGTGCTCTTTCCAAGACAACACTCAGGTATATTTATAGACAGATTAATTAATACAATGTTTCTATACAGTAGCTATCAGTTACTGTGATATTTATTTAAAGTTTTTTTGTAACTGTAGGATATTTTATTGAACATCACCCTAAAATTAGAATAATAAAAATAATAATTCCTGACAGGTCCAGGCCCGTCTACTGAAAAATTAGATTGTACATTTCACAGACTGAGCCCTGCCAGTTTATTTCTACTGCCCTAGATGGTAATATCAAAGCCCAAAATATATTCCAGAAGCTTCCAGATACTTGACCAATAGCAAATTTTTCATGTGTCAGAAACATAGTATTGTGCCAGGTGTGTTAGCACTTGCCTGTTAATCCCAGCACTCAGGAGGCTGAGGAAGGAGGACTGCCTCAAATTCAAGGCCATCCCAGGCTACTTAGTGAGTTCAAGGCCAGCCAGGACTACATGGCAAAACCCTATCATAGAAGACCCAAAAAACTCTGCCAAAAGAGTTCTAGACGTAATTGACAGATTCAGTAAAGAAGCTGGATACAAGGTAAATACTCAAAAACCAATAGCCTTCTTGTACACAAATAACAGACTCACTGAAAGTGAAATCAGGGAAACAATCCCTTTCACAGTAGCATCCAAAAAAATGAAATATCTAGGAAATAAAGAAAAACAAAAGACCTCTACATTGAGAACTACAACACTCTGAAAAAAGAGATTGAAGAGGATATAAGAAAATGGAAAGATGTTCCTTGTTCCCGGGTAGGAAGAATCAATATAGTGAAAATGGCCGTACTTCCAAAACTGTTATACAGATTTAATGCAATCCCTATTGAAATCCCAACAGTATATTTCACAGAACTAGAGAAAACAATCTAAAAATACATTTGGAATCAGAAGAGAACTAGAATAGCAAAAGCAATTCTAGGCAACAGAGACATGGCAGATGGTATTACAATCCCCATCTTGAAGCTACTGTGATAAATTACTGTGATATATTACAAAGCTACTGTGATAAAAAGAGCATGGTACTGGCAAAGAAACAGACCCAAGGATCAGTGGAACAGATTAGAAGATGCAGAACGAACTCGTGACATACTCAGCTACCTCACCTTTGACAAAGGAGCCAAACACTCTCACTGGAGGAAAGATAGCCTCTTCAATAAATGGTGTTGGAAAAACTGAATTTCAACTTGTCAGAGATTAAAACTAGACCTGTATCTCCCATCATGCAAGAAACTAAAATTCAAGTGGATTAATCCACGATATAAACATTAAAACAGAAACACTAAACTTGTTGTAAGATCAGTTAGGTTGAACTCTTGAAGACATTTACATAGGATTATGAACAAATCCTCAGTAGTGCAGGAACTAGCACAATGAATCAACAATTGGGATCTCATCTTTTTTAAAAGTTTCTGCACTGCCAGAGAAATCACAAGCAGAGCTAAGAGACAACCCACAATGTGGGAAAAAATTTTTACCAGCTGTTTCTCAGCTAAAAGTCTACTATACAGAATATATAAAGAACTCAAAAAAGTCAGACCCCCCTAGACATAAAGACCCAATTCAAAAATGGGCCTCTGAAATGAACAGACATTTCTCAGACAAAGAAGTAAAAGCAGCAAATAAATATATGGAAAAAATATTCAATATCACTGGTCATTCGAGAGATGTAGATAAAAGCAACACCATCTCACCCCAGTTAGAATGGCTACTATCAAGAAATAAACCAATAACAAATGCTGGCAGGGTTGTGGGGACATAGGAACCCTTCTTCATTGCTGGTGGGAGTGCGGACTTGTGCAACCACTGTGGAAATCAATGTGGAGATACCTCAAAGAACTAGGATAAGAAGTCCCATTTGATCCAGCTATTCCTCTGCTGGGTATCTTCCCAAAAGAGTTAAAAGAATCATACCACACTGATATATGCTCACCCATGTTTATAGCACAGTTTTTAATAGCTAAAATTTGGAAACAGCCCAATTGCCCATCAACTGGAGACTGGATAAAAGAGATTTTTTTTAATAAAATGGAGTATTACTCAGACATAAAGAATGAGAAACTGGAGATATTTGTAGCTAAGTGGATGCACATTGAGCTCATACTCTTAAGTGAAACTAATAAGTCACACGTGTAAATACCGAATAGTTTCTCTGAGTTGAATAAGTAAAAGTGTAAATAAGGGTCAAAATGTATAATTGATATTGTGTGATAGGAAGAAAAGGTCTAAAAGAGTAGAGGAAGTGGGAGGGGTAGGAGAAAGGTGAAAAAGGGGGAAATAAAAAATATGTGAAAAGGAAAAACATGGAAACAATGTCTTTGTAAACAGGGAAGGGTGGAGGGGCTAAAGGGAGGGCTGGGAATGAGGAAAAATAAGAACCAATATAAGTCATGTAAAGGTACAAGATCCCAATGATGAATATAACTGTATTGTATACCTAAAATGTACCAATAAACTTAATAAAGATTTCTAAAAAAAGAAAAAGAAAGAAAGAAATATAGTAACTGACTTGGGTATTACTGAATGGAACGTGAACTAACAGAAGAGGTACCATGTTCACCTAAATTAGAAAAATTACATTTTCCATTGGTCCCCAGAGCATGGGTTTCTTAAGCTTGGTATTACTAGTATTTTATGCCTGGTAACTCTCCATTGTTGTAGAATGTTTAGCAGCATCCCTGGACTCTACCCACTGAATGTCTATAGTAACCACCTTCTGATTATGACCAACAAAAATGCCTCCAAATACTGTCAAATGTCCCTGGGAGGAGAAATCTCTCTCCCCCACTGAAAACCATTGGTCTAGATAAATAAAGCAAGTTTAGGAATTTTTGCCTTGGAAGAGGTTGCTCAGCAACTCACCAATGGGATCTGGGAAATGCTTGTCAGATAATAGATTATATTCATCTTCTGAGGTTAGCACCTTGCCGCCAGCTGGAAGAATTCGGCTTTTAGGAGCAGCTCCTTTTTGATAGGCCTGGGAAGAAAATGCAGAAATGAAAATTGTTCCCATTTGGATTTTTGGAAAATATCAGAAAGATTAAAAATAGTTGTATAGACCAAATGTGTATACCCAGAGGCAGAAATCCCACACACTATGTCACTGTTAGTCATTTATTAAAAAAATAACTGTCGTATGAATGCTACTTGACTACATAGACTTTTGTTTTAAATATCCTAGTGAGTTTTAAAAATATTTGGCTATTATTAAATTCACAACCTGAACAATTTGTTGAAAATAATGAGCAAAGAAAGAAAGTGATACAAAGCCTAAGTTGCAAATTGAGAGAACAAGTTTTTTTAAAAATGGAGAGGAAAAAAAAAATTGCTAAGATTTGATTAACGAGGAATATTCAGTTAGTGTCAAACATAATAGAAAGCTTGATGAATCCAACAACGGTCTTCGTGAATGTTTCCTCCCAATTAAAAGTACTATATCAACAACTGCTCTATACTGGACTTAACACCGGCAGGACTTACACTAAGTGTGTCAATGTACTCATTTACTGAATTCGCACAGCAGCACCATGACAAAAGATCACACCATTTTATAGATGAGAAAATGGAGCCTCAATGAGATTTATAACTTTGGAAAGGATAGCCACTGGCAGCGATGAAATGCAAAGCCCATGGTAGTCACCATTATACAACACTGCCTCTCCTCAAGCTTCCCTGAAAATACATTGTAAAGGACAACAGAGAATGTAAAGTTGTTAACCACTACCATTATCTTGTACTGTATTGATAATCTGTTTCTGGGTACAAATTATCTGTGAACAAAAGCCTAATATAGTCAAGCACAGAAAACCTAATATAGTCATTCTATGTTGAAAAGAGTAAATTTATCCCAGAGAGACCTTGAACCTTGTCCAACAGACTATGAAACAAATTTTCACTGTATTTCATTCCAAATTTCCATCAGAAATGAGAAGGAAATCCATGGCCTGTCAGCCCAAAGGCTCCTCTTAGTGATTTAGCATCAGAGGGATGGCTCAGACTACTCCACAAATTTATCCTGACTACCACAGAACTCAGAGTCAAGAGAAAAGGAAAGATCTAGGGGCTAAATGATCATAGGCAAGGCTCCTTACCCAAACACAAATCAGTCAGCATCACCTTCTATTTTCACTCACCTGCCATCATTTATTCTAATCTTGTCCAGTAGATGGCAAGCATTTGTCTGATCAACTGCTATCAGAAATAGAACAGATATTTCAAAAACATATCTGTTCACTGAAAATGAGCGAGGGCTTACTGAATCAATCAACGGCAAAGGAGAGGACGTGCCAATCACCCCAGTGAATTCATTTATTAAGAGAACCGCTGGTAGCATGGACACGTCTTACCTCTTTGTTCTCATAGCTTTCCACAGAAAAATCATTTTTAACCACAACATATCTGTCCTTCCATTTCTTTATGTCTTCTGCAAACTGTGAGAGCTCTGCTTCATATAACACAGTTCCAGGTTCCAGTGGGGCCTAAAGAAGACAAAACAATTATCAGCTGGAGACAAATGCCTCGTTACCACTAAGTTATTCATTATTTCAAGGAATACTTCAGCAAAGTATACTGCGCAGAGATCCTGATGGAACTGTTGCTTCCTCTTCTCCTCCATCATTTCCCCTTCCAACTCCCTTGACCAAATACAAGTATTTGTATTTTTATTATTTTCATTTTCCTCTATTATATCCTCGGTACAGAAGCATACAGTAGAAAAGATTATAGTAACAAAGTTTGTGCTTTGTTTACATGTGGCACTTAATAAATGCTGGGTAAACTGTGGCAAAGAAGGAGAGAGGCAGTACAACATAAGCTGTGCACAGCTACCCAACTCCCTGGCATACCCCAGAGTCAATTCGGAAAAGCATATCATTGACGGGCTGTTCCCCTCTTTAGCACACCATCAGGCATACTTCAAGAGTCAAGGTTCAAAAGTTTTCCCCAAAACCACTGAGATTTAGGTGATTAACACTTCACTCATCCACATGTTCCTCAAGGAAACCACATGTGGTTAAAGAACAAGGAGGAAGCTGGACGTGGTGGCACACACCTGTAATCCCAGCACTCAGGAGGCTGAGGCAGGAGGATCGCTGTGAGTTCAAGACCAACCTGGGCTACACAGTGAGCTCCAGAGCAGTCTGAACTACACAGTGAGACCCTGTCTCAAAAAAACCAAAAAAAAAAAAGAACAAGGAGACATTAGGGCCAGGGATTTAGCTCAGTGGTTCCACTGCCTGCCTTGCAAGAGCAAGGTCCCAAATACAATCCCCAGTACCAAAAAAAAACCCAAAAAGGAACAAGGAGGCATCAAGCCAGTAAACATCATTTCTACCTCTCTTATTGAAAAGGCTGAGCACCTCTCAGTAACTTTGTTACATGTGCTGTAGGAAAATTTCCATTGGATTTCTAGTTAGGTCTTCACAGAGTTTACTATGTGAGGATAATTTACATCTTACTTCATTGTGCAATTCCCACATTATTTCAAAATATAGGAATGGGTCTCTTATCCATGTCACTGAATTTACACATATTTCCCCCAAACTAAAAAAACATAGTGCCTTCGGAAACTTACCTCTCTGTGTTCAGGCCAAAAATGTCCATGAACCATACAGAGAAGATATATATATAAGCCTATTCCTTTTGAGAATTGTCTGAGGGATGAATAAATTCCCTTCCTAATTTCAGTGCTTAAAGTCTGTCCTGACAGATAACCAGACAATCTCCTATCTGACCTCATTAGAAAAGGAGAAAGGACCTCACTGCTCTCTAAATGAGGCTGAAACCATGGTATAAACTGAACTTTATAGTTCTTATGTGCAGCTTTTCTCAAACTTAGACCACTTAAATCAAAGTTAAAAATGTGGCTTCACCCTAGATTTACTCTATCAGAATCTCTAAGGGAATGTATCAGAATCTGCATTTTTAACAAGCTCTCTAAAATTTGAGTCACTCTTAAATAGGGATAATAGATTTTCCTGCATACCCACGCTACTGAATCTACCAGTTAATCTGTGAGAAGAGTTAGACTCACTGATCACTCATTCCTTTTGGAAGCCCCTTCTTTCCTTGCCTTCTGATACATTACACTTGCCTGATTTTTCTCCTACTCCACAGGCTGATCCTTAGTCCATTTGGCTGGGCCCTTCTTTCTGATCTCCAAAGGTTGGGGGAGCCAGTACACTGCTTCTTTTGTCTGATACATTCCTCCTTCGGGAATGCCACATGGCTTTAATTCTGAGCATAAGGTCATATTCCTAAACTTTCATTCTGCAGCCTCAGTCTCCCAAAGGCTCACATGTTCAGTGGTGAACTCTGTGTTCATGGGGGTGCTCTACTCCTCAGGGGATCGATCCAGTTATGAGCTCTAGCTGGGTGTGCTGTTAGGAAGTGGGGCCTGGTGGAGGAAGTAGTTTACTTGAAAGTAACCTGAAAGGGTATATTCTTGGTCATAAGTCCCTTCCCCACTTTCTGGCTCTTTCTCATTCTCTCTGCTTCCTGGCTGCCAGATTGTGGACAGCTTTCCTCTGCCATGATGTTTCTTCTGCCATGGACTGAAACCTCTAAAACCATGAGCCACAGTAAACCTTTTCCCCTTTAAGTTGAATATGTCAGGAATTTTGTCCCAGCAACTGAATGCTGACAAATACAACACTCAACCACCTATTCAGTATTTCCACAGTTATATGTTGAATAACTATTGCAAACGTTAACATGGCAACATTAAACTCATGATTCTTTTTTACCTCTGATTCTACTTCCTAACTAAAATGCAATTCCATCCACTTATTTACTCAGCTTAAAAATTAAGAAACCATCACTGATTTCGCTCCTTTTCTTATCTCACAGCAAATGCTATAGCTCTGTAGATCATAAATACTACTCACAACCACTACCCCCACTATCACCCTAGTCCAATTCACCATCACCCTTCTCTTAGATTGATGGAATATTTTCTTTGCCAGTTGCCAAGCACTTCCCACCCACAGTCTTTTCTCTAAAGAGAGGCCAGAAAGATCACTTAAAACTATATGTCACTCTGTATTCAGTTCCTTCCAAAGAGACTTCCCATCACACTTAAAATCAAAACACTTGCCATGGCCTACAGATCTACAGGATCTGTTCTCTGCCTGTCTGCCTGCAGTCACTGTTCCTGCTCTCCCTTGCTCACAGAGCTGGCAGTAGACTGACCTTCCTATATTGAGCCACAGGGCCTTTGCACTTGCTGCCCCATCTGCATGGAATACTCTTCACACAAATGCTGCGCAGCCTACTCCCGTTTCATTCCAGTCATTTCGGGTACTGTCTCTACAGAGGGCTTCCTTCCCCAGCCCGCTTCTCCAAATAAGACTCTTGCTTTACTTTTGTTTCTCTCCCCTTCTCGGTACCAGGGATCGAACTCAGGACCTTGCACTTGCCACGCAGGCACAGTGCCACTGAACTAAATGCCCAGCCCACTGCTTTACTTTTGTTTGTAGCACTCACTATTACTGACACCATCTGATATTCATTAGATGAGTACCAGATGCTGTTAACTGTCTATCTACTATGTTTGAATATGGATTCCAGGAAGGTAGATGACTTATCTTATGTCTCCGGTCTTGAAATAAAACCTGATACCTAAAAGGCACTAAATATTTGTTACGGTTAGTTATTCTAACAGAGCGAAGAAGTAAGAATGAATTAATAGATTAAAAGGGAACATCATATTGATTGATGACCAAAATAAAAGTGCCCATAGTAGCTGGGTATAGTGGCAAGAGTCTATAGTCCCATACTTCCAGCTATTCAGGAGGCTGAGGTGAGAGAGCAGCCCAGGCAATCAGAACAAGACGTCATCCAGAAAAGAAAAAAGTACATAGCACAAAGCACCAAAATTGACTTTTTAAAAAAGCTAAACTTCACTACAACAATGTAAATATCCTGCTAGCACAGCATCAATGAGGAAAAAAAAAACAACTGAATTAGAATAATGCCAGTTTTCTTCTTATAATGGATTGCACCAGCCTTAAGGAATAACATATATTCTAACTTCTAGGCAAATAGAAATTTTTGAGCATGAAATTATGACAGAGCAGATTTTTCAAATGCCACCCAAATAACTGTTTATTTCTGAGATATTTGGACTTTTTTTTTTTCACTATATCGTTGAAACTGACATGGAACTCACTATGTAGCCCAGGCTGGTCTCGAACTCACAGCGATCCTCCTGCCTCAGCCTCCTGAGTGCTAGGATTACAGGTGTGCGCCACCATGCCCGGCTGGACTATTCCTGAGATATTATGAACTACAAAGACTTCTTCCACAGGAGAAATACATGAACCAAATGTCCACTGTTACCTTGGTCTTCAAAAATTGTGATGTTGGATCTCTTTGTTGCTCTACTTCACTGCGTACATGGTTGCAGAAAGCCACTGAGTACTGCCGACTGTAGTATGGACTGAAGTTTTTAATAGCAGCTTCAGTTTTCCCTGGAAAAATATAAAAAAATTAGAATTCTGAAATGTAGCACATCTCACAGAAGAGACATCTCATCTATAAAATTCTATAAACATCTCTCCCATCTCCGCAACTCCACTGGTTCCCAGACATTTGTTATCAGCCCGTGTTCCCCAAGAACTTGTCACTTGCCGCACATGATTGGACCTCTCCTTCCCTCCTGGAAATATCCTAGGAGACTTGAGGCACCCTGGGGACCATCCTCCAGTAGCCAAAAAGATTTTTCTTCATTGTACATTGTACTATTTATTGCCATGGCCGTAAATGCACCCACTCTTCCAGTCCTTTTAAGATTAGTCTACCTCGCCCCTCTCCACTTCAGTTTGCTCATTATTCTCCTCTATGGCCAGACATTCAACCCACACAACAATAATCCCAGGGCCTACCCTTTACACTCCACATGCACAGGCCTTTGTGCTTCTTTACATCCCCGAGGCTCTCTCTCTAGTAGGTGACCCACTGTCCTGGAGAAAGCTAACAGTTTCCTCTGGTTGTGCTCCTGCACTTCGGGTTTAAAGACTTTCGTGATGACATAATTTCAGTGAGGTAGAAGGGAAACTCTGGAGAACACTATGGAGACCTGGGTTGAAATTCCATCTCTATTTGTGAAATGGAAAGCAGCTATCTGACCTCAGCTGAGTCACTCAGTCCTCCAGGCCCAGCATCCCTGACTGTGAGGGGAGATGCTCACTGGTCCACACTTGCCATCAAATCCATGTGACGTGAAGTATAGTCGTGGAGGTGCACACAACAGTGACCAGCAACTATAACGTAGCCTCTCACACGAGACACGAACTAAACCGAGTATCCACCAGTCAGGTAAGCGTGAGACCTGGAGCTGGAGGGAGAGCAAGAGTTGGGCCCTGGAAACCCCTGCTTAGGTTTGAGGAGTATGGGATTTGAATAAATGCTGGAAACGGCTGGGAATTTAGCTCAGTGGTTCCGCCACCTGCCTCGCTAGCACAAGGACCTGAGTTCGATACCCAGTTTCAATCAATCAATCGATAAATGAAGGCTGGAGAAAGGGCAAAGAGCATTTCTAAAGCAGATTAGAAATCTTCCCAACATTTCAAGTACTTGACACACGATACAGAAATAAATGTAAGTTTCAATGTCAATGTTGACAAGCAGTTGAGCACATGAAGTAGGATTAGCTTGAGGAAAAATAAACCAGACATAACATTCCAAAATATTTTTAAATACTTCATGTGAATCTGGCACAATTTTTGTTTTTCAAATTTGACATTTCAGTCAACAGAAAACACTAAAATATAACAGGATTTTTTGACCTATTATGAATGTAAAACTTTGAGAAATAAGTGAAGAATTGTAACCATGTATACTGAGATGCTCGATAACAAGAACATTGAATCCATAGCTTCCTGTTTATGCTTATGAAACCAAATCCAAAAATACCCGAAGTTTATGATGAATGCCTTCTATAGACAGAGAATCCTACTTTTGCTCAGGTATTTCAGTCTTATGATATATATGAGATAAAGGGGAAATCTTTAATATTCCCTTAATTAAAAGACATTTCCTGGTCATATTTATGGGCTTTAGTAATTATTACTTGTAAGGTCCTTGGAGACACAATAATAATAGACTTCGTAGACATGTAAATAAAACCCTCTACAGTTTGAACTAGGCATGCTTTTGCTTGTTCTGTGAGTTTATAGTATTAAAATTAATCATCATTTCCATAATGCCTTAATATACCCATCAGATTAGTTATTAATTTATTAATTTTATTACATTGCATAAGTAGTAAAGTTCTGTATCCTTGTCTGTAATTTTCTTACAAAAGAGTGGTATATATTTGAGAATTCCCAAAACAAAAATGAGTATTAAAAACAAAAAAGAGTATAAAACACATAAATGATTAATAACAAAATGTGACCTTTAGCTCCAAATAATCACTGTTTGTATGATCAATAGAGCAGCCTGTTAATTGCTGATGCTAGTTTTTGTGCTCTTGCAAGCACTTGGATTCAAATGAAAGAAGGTGGCTGTCATTGTAGGATGAACTCTGCAGAGCTCTGAAAGCTAATCTGCCGCATCACCACGCCTCTCCCAGCAACACCCTGCTTCTACAGAGGTGTTCTGGTACCCCATTACCTTCCAACATATGAGGAAAAAGTTTCTGTGGTTTGAATATCTGTATTAGTGCCATTAGTCCATCGTTGGAGAGGTAGCACTTATAAAGAAAGGATCACAGCTTTCTTGGGTACTGTAATTAACCTCAGGGCCAGTTCAAACTGTGACTAAAATAACTAATAACATCATGAGTTCTAGGAAGAAAAGAAGGTAAAGCTATTTTCCATTGCATTTGGATTTTACATTAAATCTACCTGAACCCAGAAAAAAGGACTTTAGAGTCAAATAAACATGGCTTCAGACCCATCTCTCCTACTTGACCACTTGTGGGACTTCATGAGGGTTACTTTTTCTTCCTTTTATATATAAAGTGAATATAACAGAAGCAACAGCATAGTGATATTGTAACAATTACATAAAACAATACAGTAAAGTGCTCAGTACTGCAGCTGGCATATAGAAGTGTTCTAAAATTGACAGTAATTAAAAGCACGATCATAGGGCTGATAATGGAATCCCCCAGTCGAGTTCTAAGAGACAATACTCAAGCTGAGCAAAGGAATCAACTAGAAAAGCAAGTTGTCTACCATTCCTCTTGAACTGAAAACATCCTAATCTGCTCCATACAGAATAGCCACCTACCCTGGTAGGCTCAAAGCAAATATAACTGCCATCTTCACAGATGTTTCAGCACAAGAAGCCCTCAGTGCATCCCTGAATTAAAATTAACTAAAGAATTGGTACTAATGAGCTAAGAACAAAAAATCATGAGTTCATAGCTGTATTATATTGAGCCTCTCCGAGTGTCAACTTTCTCAATTGCAACCTAGGGAAGATACGCATATGAGAGGGTTTTGTGAGGAGTAAATAAAATATTTCACATGTAAAAGAACATCAAGAATAGTGCCTGAGCACATGTTAGTTGATCAATGAATTTTGACTATCATTTAATATTCTACAGTGAAATATTTAAATTGGCAGATCAGCTCATAGGGGACACATAAACTCAGCAGAAACAAGATTGTTTTCCATGGTTTTCAAGATTCATGAATATTGAATTTCCCCAAAATTAAGTATGATGTTCTCTTTCCTAAATTGTTTGTAAAACACAGTGCCAGGTCTTCCTTGAGAAGGACGTTACTAGATACCATAAAGAATTGACAAATGGAAAGGCTTCTTATGCATTTTGATCTATGAACACTTTTGACACAGGCATATTTCTTCAAATCTACTCAACTATTACATGTGCAGGACACTGTGTTAGTACAATTCATGTGACCAGGCTGTTTGTGAACCCATCAGAGTAACCCTAACTAAACTCAAAAAACTCCCTTCAACAGCTCTACCCACAAAACTTAGCTGCACTTCACTTTGTAAAAATAAGTACCTGCTGGACTTGTTCAACCACTGTGGAAATCAATATGGAGATACCTCAAAGAACTAGGATTAGAGGTTCCATTTGACCCAGCTATACCTCTGCTAGGTATCTTTCCAAAAGAATTAAAAGAATCATACACAGTTATATATGTGCACCTATGTTTATAGCAGCACAGTTTGTAATAGCTAAAACTTGGAAACAGCCCAATTGCCTATCAATTGGAGACTGGATAAAGAAGATGTAGCTTTTCTATAATATGGAGTACTACTCAGCCATAAAGAATGAGAAACTACAGTCATTCACAGTAATGCATATTGAGGCTATACTCTTAAGTAAAATACATAGGATACACATGTAAACACCGAAGTTTCTCTGGTGTGAAAAACTAAAAGTGTAAATAAGAGCCAAATGTATAACTGATAATATAAAATAGGAAGAAAAGAGCTAAAGGTGTAGGGGAAATGGAAAGGGTAGGGGAAAGGAAATAAGGGACAAGAAAAAAAATATGAGAAAAGGAAAAAATGGGAAAAAAGTCTTTGTAAATAGGGAAGGGTGGAGGGAGTGAAGGGAGGGCAGGGGTATGGGAAAACATGAGAACCAAGATCTATCATGTAAAGGTACAAGATCTCAGTGATGAATGTAACTGTATTACATACCTAAAAAATATCAATAAACTCAATGAAAAAAAAAAAGAAAAGCACCTGCTGATCCTTTGAAAGCCCTTTTCATACATACAGGTTCAAAAATTCAGCACTTTTACCTCTCCTCCACTCTTCTATTCAATCATCAGATCCTGTCATTTCTCTTTCGGTAACATTTCCTGAACCCATCTCAACCACTATACCTTCCATCATAACACAAAGCAACCGTAAAAATCTCTTAACCTGCCCTACATCAGCATCATGGCAAGGTGAAAATTTTTAACTAGATCTCGCTCTGAATCAGGAACAAAAAAGCCAAAAACACAGTGGAAGATGGAATACAAGGACTGATACACACATCCTGGATGACTGTGGGAAAGAAGCCAAGCTTGATTCCTGGAACAAAGATTCTGAGAAGGGCCAGCATCAGGGGCTAATGGGCAAAACAGGAGAGGCCAAAACTCAGCTGGCCACCTACATCTCGCTCAAGATGACAAAGGTACAAATTTCCAAGGGCCAGGTGTTACAGTGGGAAACCATCCTTCAGAACCAAGTCATGGCACTGATGCAGCTAGGGAACTGTTGAAAGTCATAAGGGGGAGTAAACCTCACTTGCCATACAGGCACAGGCCTAAGGATCATGTCTTGCCAAGTTTTATTCAACACATTGCTGCCAGGCTACAGAAGTATATTCATAAAAAAAAACCCTTAGCAGTTCCCCATCGGGTAGACTAGTAAGTCCTCCACCTAGCACCAAAGGACACTATTTCCCAGCTCTTCTTCTCAAACTGAATCTTCTTGTTCCTTTGGATCTCTATGCCTAACCAGCCTTCCCTCTTCTCATTTCTCCTTATTGCCCTACCAGTCACATTCAGACTCCTCAAGCACAGAGGGCAATCCCAACTCCCCAAACAAGCCTTTTTGGATCGCCCCAGCTGCAAACAATCTTACCTTCTTTTGCATTCTCACAAAATTCTGTACTACTTTTGCTGCAGCTGTTTAAATATGGCTCAGCTCTGCTCCAAGGATACTGTGCTTATATAATCAGCAAATATTTGTTGAATGAGTGAAAGAATAGCTGAGTAACTTTTCAAAACTAAAGGAAATTACAATGCATAGTAATAATAAAATCAGTGCCAATGTTCCCAGAAAAGGAAATAGGTACAGTTTTCAGCTTGAATAGTCATTATTAAAAATATATATTCTCAAAGATCAACACACATTTGTTTACAAAAATCAGACTCTCGTAGCTTAATTTCTCCTCTTTTTTAAAAGGTAAATGCTTATTTGGAGTTAGTTTTCTGGTGGGTGGCACAAGGTTCTTCATGTTTAATGGCCTCATGCATTTCTCCTTCTATGATTATACTGAATATTTTGGGCAGATTGGTATTGTCTGGGCCAAGAACAATTGGGTGATTACTCTCAATCAGGTCACACAGATAACTGAAAGTCTGAAGAGCTTCTTCTTTGTCTTCATATAGTGGAAGCCAAAACAACCAGTGTGGCAGGATTTCTGAAAGGGTCAGCACACCCAGAGTGCAATGGATAAGCCTAGCCCTGGAAACGCCGGGAATTTAGCTCAGTGGTTCCGCCGACAGGCTTGCAAGCACAAGGACCTGAGTTTGGTTCCTGGTACCAAAAAAAAAAAAAGCCTAGCCCTAGCAAAACCACCTTTATGATCATGGTATCTCCCCTGCCAAGTAAGTATTCTCATAGGTTAATTTCATTTAAGCTTTTTAATAAGTTTTGTCCACGAAAATATTTATGGAAAATTATTTACAAACAAACAAAATCCCTTCCTGACCACTCTCGAAACATGAGAAGTATAGATACCTATAGATATATATAGATACATATAGTTAAAATCTACATGAGGCCAGGATATAGTTCAGCGGCACAGTGCCTGCCTGGCAAACACAAGGTCCTGGGTTCAATCCCTGATACCCCCCTCAAAAAAATAACCTACATGAAATCTCAAGAACCAAAATTTGTACATTTTCTCATTCTAGGAGATTCTTTTAAAACCAGACTCCAGTCCTACAGCAGTTCAACTCAATTCTACTGTTTATCAAGTCTTTCATTAAACATATTATTTATACTAGCTTATCCTTAGTTCTCCATTGTTTCCAGTGTTACACTATGATATATACTAAAAGCTTCTCCAACCAACACAGACTCCTCCATATTTCAATAACCTTCCAAAAGTGCTCATACACACAATATGTAAGAAATCCAAAACTATTTTTCCTATATTTCCTTCTGATATTTTTAAGTACTTAAGATTATTGTATTTTTTACCTAGTTTTATTTACTTAACATTTCGTCTTTAGTTTTTCCTATGATGTTATCAAAGAAATCATGATTTTTCAATTATTACATTTCTATTTTTATTATGGGGGAAAAAAACAACCAAAAAATTTAAATTATTTTAACAAGGTGGCTATTGGCTGTGAATTGAGGCAATCCCACCTATAAGAGCAGATTAGCCAAGCCTTCAGCACAATTTCTTTTTTGGGGGGCAGGTACTGGGGATCAAACTGAGGACCTTGCATTTGTGAGGCAGGCATGACACCACTGAGCTAAATCCCCAGCCCTTCAGCACAATTTCTTAAAAACTGCACTCTGGTGAAGATTCATTTGGGGAAATAAAACAAATTTCCCTAAAAATAAAATATTTTAATAATTATAAAATAAATTACAATACTTACTACTGTTTCTTTTCTCAAGAATTACCCAAATTTTAAAAAGTTTAAAAGTCCTGATGAATTATAGCATTAGCTGTAAACTTGGGTTGCTAAGAACTATCATTTTTCACCTTAGGGTGGAGAAATTGGAAATCCCAATTCACAATACAGAGGTGGAAAAATCTAATTACATAGAATAATGCCCAAGGACTCTCTTTTTCTTCCAATAAATGCCTTAGAGAATGAGGACAAATTGGGTTCTCCATAATTGAACTAAAGTGTGTGTGTGTGTGTGTGTGTGTGTGTGTATATGTGTATGTGTGTGTGTGTGTGTGTGTGTATGTATGTGCACGAGTGTGTTTTTAAAGCACATTTATTATTGGTGCTTGAGTGACAGATTTTTGAACAGCCTCTACTAGGAAAGGGCAAAATGATTCATGGGCAGCCTTGATTCTGCAGATTCTGCAGCCTCCCTTAGAGAAGCTCCATCTTGAGTTAACAGTAGGAGACATGTAAACCAACTTAAATTCTCCATGATTTACTTTGGATATTAATCCACAAAGAGAAATATACAAATACTTATGCTCCCAAGATCCTACATTAAATATATTAAAGTCATACCACAACCTTCCAGGGTTCAGCAAGCAGCTTGATAAAAAGCAGGCATGTTTAGGAACAAACAATGGAATACAGTTTTCTGGTTTCACAAACTCATAGTCATAGCGATTTAAAACTGAGTAAAGCTTATAATGAACTTGCTCTCCTTAGAGACACTAAGTTTCTCACTATCCCTAGTCTAAAAAGCAAAGCTAGTATCTTTCACATGGCCATAAAACTTAGTCCTTCAAAGACACTTAAGATGCTACATAAAGGAGTAAGCAGTAACTCCACTGGATAAGCAGAAGCAAAAGCAGTATTTTCTACCAGTGATCACAGTCACTGAAATAAATTATGGTTCCATCTGCACAGCATAACTGCAGAACGTTACTCACAAGCTACTATAAGTAAGAGAAATGGAAGAAAAACATTCTGGGAGGAAAAAACACGCTATCATTTTTAGGTTTCAATTCTGATTACCTTATTCTATACAAATAAAAATTCCACTGTGGCCAGCTTTCCCAGATTTAAAAAAATCTGGAACAGATTTCTAGAACTATAAGGACTTAAGCCTGGTCTCCTCTTTTTATAGTGTTGTTAGAAAAATATATGCACACTTTGGTCTTTAGTCACAAGTAGATGGAAGAAGCTTTAATTTTTCCTCCATCTCATTTGGAAAAAGTACTTGCAAATTTTAAAGATTATTTTACCCTTATTTCACAGCATGCCTCCAATTTTTACATGACACATCTGATTTTGCACTTTTCTAAATTCCCCAATGCCCTCCAAGGAAGATGCAGATTGGCTGTCTTTTCCTTTAAAAAAAAGAGAAAGAAAAGAAGAGTGTGAAAGAAAAATTAACCCAATAGCTGATTTTTAAGACAGTAAGACAAGAACTTTGATTTCAAGAGGAATAATGTTTTTGTCTATTAGTCAATCTTTTTAGATTCTCAGGACAATATATTACCGAAATTGAAAACCTGAAGTAATGAGATTCCCTTTGCTATGTTTTGAGTCAAATCAGCTATTAAATCTAAATGTATTTAATCTAATATATAATCATTTTATACTGCAAACATGTACTAATAAAAACGGATAAATTCAATTTATATATGTTACTGAAAAACTGTCAAAAGCTATTGTATTTGATACTCTAAGTAGACAGGAAAAAAACCTCACCAAAATCTCTCAATAGTACTATCTAGATAGTACCAAGTTCTTCACAGCCATGAATTTTCCTATAGAAATTATTCTAATAAATGTACCAGGACCTCAAGACATTGTCTCTGCTGAAAGTCCAGGCTTAATAGGTGAAATTCACTTCTAACTAGTCCACATATGTATCCAGAGGATTAAAGGTGAAGTACAATTGTAAATAACTGAGACTACTTTTAATAATGCACTTAAGCCAGGCCTGGTGGCTCACACTTGTAAACCCAGCACCCAGGAGACTGAGGCAGGAGAATTGCCACAAGTTTGAGGACAGCCTGGGCTCCATAGTGAGTTCAAGCCCAGCCTGAATTACATAGTGAGACTCTGTCTACAAAAGCAAAAAAAAAAAAAAAAAAAAACAAAAAGCACAGTTGATTTGGACAGCATACACATGCCAACAATAATCACATGCCAATTTCCAAATATTGCTAAAAAGTACAGTTTTCACACTTCTAGAACTAGGTGGGAACCATGATGGTCATCTCCAGTGCTGTCCTATTTTCAAATAAAAAGATTAATTGGCCCAATGTCACAAAATAATTAATAGAACATTTATGAAAAATTTTAAAAGTCATTGCCAACTCTTTAGTTTTCCTCTCTACTAATCCATCCTCCATCCCTGGAGGAATCCAAACAAAACTTTTTATTAATGAAGGAGTTAAGCAATCTTTGGCAATAAAAATCACATTGTCAAGAAGCCTTGTGAAATGATTTTAAATTTGGGTTAAAAAATGCACTGATTAATTTTGTGTATTAACCTGGCTAGACTACCAGGTAACCACATATTTGGTCAGACACCACTCTGGGCATGTGAGTTGTTTCTGGATGAGACTAACTTTTGAACTGGATGCCTGAGTAGATTATCCTTCCTAAAGCAGGTGGACCTCATCCAAGCAGGTAAAGTCCTATATAGAACAGATGGTCTAAGACAGAATTTCATCTTTTCTGATGCCTTCAGGTTAGACACTGGTCTTTTCTAGCCTTTGCACTTAGACTGGAATATTGGCTCTTCATGGATCTCCAGCCTTTCCCACTTTGGACTAGAAGTACACTACCAGTTTTTCTAGGCTTCCAGTTTGCCATCTGCAAATATTGGGGCTTGTCAGCTTCCATAATTGCATGAGCCATTCTTCATCACACAGGGAATAGAACTCAGGACCTTGTGCTTATGAGCCAGGCAGCAGAAACACAGAACTAAATCCCCGGCCCTCCATTCTTTCTTTTTTAAAAAAATCCCTTTTCCCTTAATTCCTTTTCTCCTGCATCCCTCCCTTATTCCTGTTCTTGAACAAGTTCTTCTTACTTCCCAATATCTGTCCTCAATTTTGCTTTTGACTCACATTCTGGTGTGTGTGTGTGCGTGCGTGTGTGTGTGTGTGTGTGTGTGTGTGTAGATATACACACTTACACCATACGCATACACATTGTATATTTAATTCCACTTTATTCATTTTTAACTACTACCACCTACAATTGTAACATTAAAATTTATTTTCCTTGTTGGTAGATCCCTCACTTAATCTCTTT